TGCACTTCAAGAGAGATGCGGACAACTTGGAGAGGGTCCAGAGGAGGGCCACTCGCATGATCAGGGGGCAGCAAGGCAGGCCCTACGAGGAGAGGCTATGGGACCTGAACCTGTTCAGCCTCCACAAGAGAAGGCTGAGGGGGAATCTAGTGGCCTGTTACAAACTAGTCAGAGGGGACCACTGGGGGAGTCCCTGTTCCCCCAAGCACTACCAGCAGTGACTAGAAATAACAGTCACAAGCTGGCAGAGGGTAAATTCAGATTAGGCATCAGGAGGTGCTACTTCACTGTCAGGGTGGCTAGGATCTGGAACCAACTTCCAAGAGAAGTGGTGCTGGCTCCTACCCTGGGGGTCTTTAAGAGGAGACTAGATGAACACCTTGCTGGGGTTGTTTGACCCCAGTACTTTTTCCTGGCATAGGAGGGGGTCGGACTTGATGATCTGCTCCAGTCCCTTCCCACCCTACCAACTATGAAACTATGAAACCAGTAATTGAATTTATACTATAGATTTATAAATCATTTTATTTCTTCAGTGACTTTGTACAACTGCTCTTCTGGCCGGAGCGACTGCAGCTTGTGTCTTGCAGCTGAGCCTGGTTACAAGTGTGTGTGGTGTGAAGAAGATGGCAAGCCAAGCAAGTGCATTTATAAGGACCTCTGTAATACTGTTGCTGCTAACACATGTCCTCCTCCAGACATTACTCACGTAAGATTTTTTTTCCCTGCCTACCAGTATATTGACTTTTCTTAAAGAAATATCTGAATATCTTGAAAGGGGCTGGTTGGGTGGAGGGGACAGGGTGCACATTCTGAAACATTAAGCAAACTTCCAAAGCAGCAGCCAGAAGATGATATCAGTGTGGAAGATGTGCAAGACCTGCCAAGTCTCCTATTGAGAGGCCTTTCATCTTTCACGTTCTTTAAAGCCTTGCGCTACTGTGGTAGCAGTAAGCATTTAAACATGTGAGTAGATTACAGAGAGTTAATACGAGTTTTTACCAGTGTAAGGTGTTCCCCCCCCCCCGCCCCCCACTAAGGTCTCTTCTACCCAAACTACTCTTCAGCAACTACATGACAAGAAAGTTTGAAACATAAGTTTACCAAAAGTCTCAGAAAGTCTGAGCCTCCCAATAAGTGTTCAGAGTTCTGATGTTGAGTGGATGCTTAGGCTAAATTTGAAAATCTAGCACTGCTGGGTCTGTTCTGTCTTACTTTCCACTACAAAAATAATTCATGTGAACCACAGCCACTGCAGCCTCCTCTCATATTATTAGTAGGTAGGATCTGCTGATAGTAGAACCTTCAGTTCTAGGTCTCTGTACACCATTTCTGTGTCCTGAAGTGTACTGTGAATTTGACACAAATCTCCAAAGCTGAAAATAATGATAAAACCAAAAAACCAATATGAAGGATGGCTAGAAGTGCCTCTACAGAATAGTCTTGAGAGAAATCTCAGTGTTTGGGGCTTTCAATATATGGTCTATCGCATGCTTTAAATTAGAATAAAATTATAAACAGGATAAATGTTAACCTGGAATTATATATATGATGATAGTCATAGTCTACTGGGGGCTTTTTTCTTTTGTTGTTAGCTATGAAAGCAGGTTACTATGGGTTGTATAAATCAACTTTGATCTTAAGATAAAGAAATTTCTTAGCCTTTCTTTTTCTAGGAACCATATAATAAACCTTATTTAATGCTAAGGTGTTGACAGCAATTAATGTCAAGTTAAACTTTAAGTAACAGGAACACAGCCACTGTTAGTTTCAAATGTGCTTTCTATTTTTACTCATACAGATTCAACCAGAGACTGGACCACTGAGTGGTGGAATTCTTTTGACCATAATGGGATCTAATTTGGGTATAACAGCAGATGATGTCAAAAGTATAACAGTAGCAGGAGTAGAATGTATTTTTAAAAAGGAATTCTACTCTGTTTCCACTAGGTAATTGTTTTCTATGATGAATTTTATGGGGAGAGGGATTATTTGTACAATTACTGGAAATATTAATAGGAGGAAGCAATGCACTATGCCTCAAATGCTTGTTGTTGACATTTCTGAGGATTTGCACAAAACCAAGTTTTGCACTTCTGCACAATAACAAATTATAATAAGAGCATTTTCCTTTATGATTAGGGCATTTTGTTTGAAAAGCTGTCATGAATAATTGCTGCATATGTCGGTAAACTATTTATTTGTTTTCAAATTAAACGCATCACTGTCAGTCCACACTTTAGTGAACAAATAATTTCAAGAAGTGGTATGTTTCAAGATCACTTGATGTAAAGCATTATACAGCAGCTTAGATGGCATTGTTAATAGGAATTTAACATTTCAAGCAGTGCCATTGTCACCTGTCTCCAATCAAGTGAGTTCTGATATTGAAAGCTACAAGTTCTTCTGAAAGCATTATTTCTTGTCTCTTCCTAAACTTGATGCAGCTTCTAAGAATATAGCAGACAGGATAAGAAACAAAGCATAGATTACAACAGCAATACACATGCCAAGACTTGCAAGAATTTGGAAAATGTTGTCCATATGCCAGGACCCAGATAGATAATTCTGGAGTCATTCGCAGTGGAACTTGACAACCCTTTATTTAGGCCCTAATTTAAGTTCATTGTAGTTGTAAAAGTGTGGGGGTTTTTTAATTTTCTTAGGCAATAGTGCATTGTTTAAAGAAGAATAAGAATCATTTTGAGATGGAAAGAGCAAATGGTAACCAGAAAAAAGCTCCATTTAGCAGGTCCCATCATAAAAAGCTCTGCCAGTGCACAGCCTACAACAATAGCATACATTCGCATCCTGCTTTGTTACTAGAGCTACACTGTTTATTTTTTTCTGATTTCAGAATGATTACTTTAAAGAATAGTTGAGTAGAACATAAGAAACCCATTTTCCACTCATATGTACAATAGAATAAATTAGAATCTGTGGCTTGTAATTAAGTGTCTGCTAAGGTTTTAAAATAGAGAAGGAAACAAAGGTGTGTGGAGGGGTTGGAAAGCTGTTGTATTATTCTACTTTTACTAGTTTGCGTTTAGCCCATCAATAATGACCACAAGATTGCTGCCATTCAAAGGGTACTGAGTCTGACTTCTGGTAGATACAGAACTGAAATATTTGCATATACCTTAGTGGTGGTCACTTCGGTGTTCAAAGTATATTGCAGAAAAAGGGAAGCTTGCCCTTCTGCATGTGTCATGTGACAGCTAAGCAAAGATTTGACTTTCTGGTGTGGTCAAGCAGGCACCTTCTGCATGCGTTCAATCCACCTTTTTAGTTATGGAGTGAAAAGTTATGCAATTAAAGATAAACTTGCATTATTTCTGACTAGGATTGTGTGTCAAGTTGGAAGTGTGACAGAAAAATTGCACGGTGAAATTGAAGTTGATATAAATGGAAAACAAGGTAGATCAACAAATGAAGTGCAATTTACGTATCAAGTAAGTACCCTGCTTTATTCAACATACAGCATGCATCTGGTTTAAAATGCATCATTAGGACAAACACAGGTGGTTGTGGTCATAGCTTTTTTTTCAATCAACAGCAATGTCAGTGATTATTCATTCAAGTATAGTGGAAAATGCTTATCTCTTACAACTTATTTTCCCACAGGACCAAAAATATTTGCAGAATAGCAGGTACAAAGACTCAAAATAGGGCAATGGTGTTTGCAATTCAAAGAACAAATAATGCACCTATGGTTGTAATGAACTTAGCATTTGTCAGTGCTGAGAAAAAGAGCATTGAAAAATTAAACATTCTTCAGATGCATTGTAATTGCACTGGGGTTTTTATCAGTGTGTTTAGATTAGCCAGTATTCTTAATCATGAAAATTAATGTGTAGCCATGGAAGAATAAGTAAGGATGCTGCATATTTTAATCTCTATATTTTTCATCAATTTGGTTCATTCAAAAGTACAGCATACACAGAAATAAGTAGTGCCACTGCCAGCATGGTGTGCAGTCATATTAAACATACAATTTACTTTTATTGTCACCATGCCAAAGGAGAGTCCCAATTGCATCTTAATTGCTATGCCCCAAATGTGGTGGTGTTGCAGCCTGTGGCTTTAGCCACCAGAACTTGTAGATGCTGGTGGCCTCAGTTGCATCTGTGTGGTCTTTGGAAGTTAATAGGAACTGTTGTCACTGAGAGATTTAAATAATACAATTGTCAGATTTGATAGTTTAATAAGTAAACCTATAAAACCCAGCATGTGGAGATTGAACTAGCATACTGAATTTTACTACAGTCTGTTTTCCTGAAGCAGTTTTAACTTCATGCTACTTGTTAACACTTAAGTTGCCTTCCCTCTTAAGGGAAGGGATGGAGCTAGATCGGTGGTGATGCTAGGATAACAGCTATGGAATGTCCTTATAGGGCAGAAGAAGCTAGTCACAACCAGCTTTTTCCAGGGCTTCCAGCCACAGACCCTCCCCTAGGACATGCTTTTGTGAGAAATAAGACATCTACTTTTTGAAGCAAAAAAGCACCCCCTCAACTCCTTCAGTATCTCATTGAAGCTTGTTTTTCCATGAACCTCTTTGCACTGATCCTCCCTCTCCATCAGTTTCCAAAAGTACCAGGCCTCATTTTTTGCTTTTCTGTTTGAGCTGTGTTAAGGTCTCTGGAACAGGGACTATGTCTGTTAAGCTTAAACCAGGCAAGAGCTTAGCAAGAACTCATTGTGTCACATGACCTTTACACTGATACTCCCATTTGCCTTCTGGCAGTAAAGCATTCCCCGATCTTTCATATGATATCTTCATACAAAAACGAAATAGCTTATTGAAGGGAAGGCTTACCCATCCACCTATGCTTAGAAGACCTTTTGTCTAAATTGTTCAGAAGAGTTCTGAGCCAATTCCCCCCCTCCTCCGATCTGGTGGAAGAGATGGTCTGATGACTTTGCTCTCTTAGTGCTAAAAAGATTGCTTCCTACTTAGGTCCTATGGGAACTCGATGCATGAATATCAGCAAAACACCAAGTTTTTGAAAACTGAAGCTATGTAGTTTCATAGTTTCATAGATTTAGGGTCGGAAGGG